CTGTGCTAAACTGAGCTGAGACAGACTGGAACAGTTCATCAGAGAATTTAGAACTTGTGGACAAAACAGTACTGAAATGCCTTTTGTCAAGAGCATGCAGGTATTTGGATGGGATGAAAATAAAGAACTGGAACACCTTCAAAATCACATGAAGCTGAGTCAGGGGAGGTTTAGGCTGGATACCAGGAAAAGGTTTTCGCCTAGAGGATGATTGGGCACCAGTACAGGGCAGTGGTCACAGCACCAACCCAACAGAGTTCAAGGAGTGTTTGGACAAAGCTCTCAGGCACAGGGTGTGACTCCTGGGGTGTGCTGAGCAGGGCCAGGAGTTGGACTTGATCCTGATGGGTCCCTTCAACTCAGCACATTCTGTGATTCCTGTTCCAGATATGAAAACATACAAGTATCTCCAAATGATCTGCTAATCTGTTTGTATTTTAGCAAGAGAGACTACCTGTGGGTTTCCTGCTGGAAGATGTAACACAAGAGTACTTGAATAGTCTTTGAGACCTGAGAAGAGATACTTCAAAATCAAAACATAAAAGAAGCTAAAAGAGGACCTGAAGCTAGGAAATGCAGGATGTACAAAACAGGCTTTCAATGCTGTGGTCTGTTAGACACAGAGTAGTGTGTGTTTCACGTTCCTTGGCAAGATTATATGTAGGTCTCTCTAACTATGATGGGGTTTTTTAATATAGATATATCCAAAAGAAAATGGGAGAAAGGGAAGGGTGTAAGTAATCCCTTGTGCCTCCACTAATTCTTGAGCTTTCTGCTCAGGGTTCCCATGACTTCCCATGGCTTTTTCAGTCATTTTTTAACAGTCATTTTTTAGCACTTGTTTGGCACTGCAGCCTAAGAGGCAGGAGCCTTCTCCAGTGCAGGCTTCCCAATGGGTCACAGAAAGTTTTAAAAAAGACAGAAAATCATAGGTTGGTTTGAAACCTCACCCTTGTAAAATGGTGGCAATTCCCTTTTGGTTCCATATGGCATCTGTCAGGAGAGCACCTGTATTCCATGGTGTTTGGCAACAAGAAAATTAGAAGTCACTAAGGCAAATATTCAAACACTTAGGAATCTTATTACTGGTATTGAGAAATATTAAGGTTTTCATAACATCATGTGGAAAGTGGTGTTTCAAATTAGAAAGGAAAAACTTCCTCAGGAAATCTTAATGGATTGAGCTGATATCGTGCTGAGTGAGCCCTTGTTAAAACATATCGAAATTCAAGCATATAACAAATACAAGCACAAAGGGGAGGGTTTTGGTATCTCAGCAAGGAGATTGGAATGTCAGAAAACTGGGAGTTTGCCATGGCTTAGCCAGAATTGAGGGAGATAAGGGTTTGGTGGTTTGGGGAGGGTTTTAATCCTTTTCAAGAGTTTGAACCATCTCCACAATGGTCATTGGGAGTGCCACGCATCACAGACTTTCCTTGACATTGGCAGGTCTGGAGCCTTTATAGCTGTGGTACCTGGAGCATGTGGAAAAAAAAGTACCTTTGCCCATGTATTACTGAAAACTACCCTATATTTTTATAAATCACGCCCTTTTTTTATTGCATAGAAATAACAGATAAACCTTTAAAAGCAAGGTACAGCATCCAGTACAGGCTACTATATTTTTCATGCTGAAAAATCAAGTAAGGGCTTAGAAATGGTTCTTCAGAGCAGACATCAGTACAGATCTGCAAGAGTACTCAAAACAGAGATGGAGGTAAAGAGAGGTGCTGCCCAGCAAGGTGTCTGTCCATTTTAGGAGAATTTGGAGAGAGAAGCTCGCTGTTATCACTGGCATACTCAGCTGCCTTGACATTTTACTGGAGTTTGCACCTTAGCCACTGGCAAGCAGTGTTGTGGGATAAATATTGTGGCCTACAGTTACACAAGTCAAATCAGGTGTCATGATTTGCTTCATTAATATGACTATCATTAGCTTCTTCAGTTAGTTTTGAGGAGGTGAACATCTCTTTTCAGCTGGCAGAGGGGTGATTTCTGCATCACTGAAACAGGAGCTGTTACAAATGTGAATGTTTGGTATTCTCACTAGTGCTCTGGGAAGAAAGTGTGAACCAGCCCATGAATTTGGAAAAGATAGCAAAGCTCATTCAGGTGTGCATGCATCCCTGGTCTCTGGAGTGTCCTGTGGCTTGCATTTAATGAATTTCATTTTGAATGTCACAATTTTCATTGAATGACAGTCAGATCTTACTGAGTGCAAGACTGAAAAGCCACCCCAGTGAGAGTTTGAGCAAGGGCAATTACAGATTCTCCCTGTGGGCTCCCTCTCATTGTTTTGTGAAGTCCCAGAGAACCTGCACTTTTGCAGGAGGAGAATGTAGATTTATCAGGGAGATTTCTACAGAAGGTTGACTTGGGTCCTCTCCATATAGAAACATCTTTGGGTAGTTCTACAATTCCTGACCCTTCTGCATCTCTGCTGGAGGGAATCTGAAATCTGGAAGGATGAGCAAGAACTCATTTGGGTCATGAAGTACCTGTTTGGTGGGGAAGAAAACCAGGAGGTGGCCCAGAGATTTCCTGTATGTTTAAAATGTTTTTTTCCTTTGTTCAGGAAAATATTTTTTTCCTTTGTTCCTTTGTTGCATTTGGTTTCTGGTGAGCACTTGTTCAAGCTGGCAATGCCAGGGTGCCTTTGGTGTCCTTGCCAAGTTTACTTGTATTCTAAAGTACATGTGGACATTTAAGAATGTGTTCCAGGGTGTGCAATAATCTGGTTTGTAGAGCTTCTGAACACATTAAAAATCCCCTAGTCCTAGTAATCCAGGACCTGGATAATGCAGTGGCGAGTGGGTTTCCCATCAAGGACTACCCAAATCCCAACAGTTCCACTTCAGAGAGTCTTGAACAGCCTTAGGTTAAATTCCTTAACGCTGTTTCACACGATCTTACAAACATCAAGGTAAACAGCTGCTAAACTGAAACTTTACCTTGAATCATGGAGAGGTCTGTCACTAGAAGTTAGCCTGCTCTTGATTAAAGCTTAGGGATGTCCCATGTGTTAAGGCAGCATTGCCAGCATTTGTGATTACTCACATTTGAACAAAAAAAAACTTTTACCAGGTGTAGATTTTCAGTGCTTTGGAGCTGAATGCAGGTGTTTAGAGCTTGTGGTGTGCTTGTTTTTTTTCTGATGTTTGTATGAGTGAAATTACTTGGACTGCAACATCTGGATTGATGTTGGACTAGATGAAGCAGAGGATCAAGGCATAGATCTCAGTTCTGCAGTCCTTTCTGGAGCTTTGCACAAGTCTCAGTGCCTTGACTAGGACTTCTGACAGCTGCTGCTGTATGTGCTAAAATTGTTAACCTCCAACCAACTACTTCTAACATGCAGCCAAATCCTGGTTCCACTTTGATTTATTTCTAATTGCCTCAGGAGGTGAAAAACAGGCGGCTGTCAAGAAGGATGTTGGTTATATTTAGGTGTTTATCTTTGCTCCTTCTGGTTTGGAAATTTTCAAAGACCTTCCTTCCCAAAATCTCAGGCACAGAGGGGAATAATCATCTCTGATTTTACACGGTTTGCAGTTTAGTAAGGCACTAGTTCAACTTGTGTGTGTGCCCTCTGGAGCATAGCATAGAGCAGTGATGTCAGGAGGCAGCCTCTGAAAATGAAAAGGAATTAATAACAGATGAACAAACAACTGCTTGCTCTATCTTTTCCTGATATTTTGCATGCCATTTAGCTTGTGATGAAAGCAGCAATAATTTGCATCTCTAGGTCTGCTTATTGCTTCCAAACAAGTAGCCTTTTCTTTGGTTCTTTGTTTTTTGTTTATTGATTTCTTTATTGTGTAGTGTTGAAGCTTTTCATATGCTAAATAAAGCAACAAGGGACCCTTAGACCCAGGCATGTTAAGATTTCCACAAATAGGGCATTTGCTTTCAAAGTCAAATGCACTTTAAACTGTTGCTAAATATGAAATTGTAAGAGTAAATTTAACCAAGCAGCATGACGCTTTCATATTTTTTCCCCAGTTCCTGGCCCTGAGACACCAGTCTGTCCCTGTGCTTGCTTTCATGCCCTATGACTTATCATAGAGCAAGGACAGCAGAGGTAATGTGGTTACATGGAATCAGTATGGGGGGAAATGTCACCTTAATCCTGTGCTGGATATAAGGAGTCTTGAGTTTCATCTTGTGGTCCAGTGTAAATTGTGGTGAGCTTTGTTTGACCCAGCTGAACTGCTCTTCCCTGAAGAAGGTAAATAGGCCCCTGATTTTCTCTGAATTTCACTGCAGAAGGTACAGCTTAGCACTTCTGTGTCTCAACTGGCCTATTTAGAAATCACCATTTCCTATCATGGCAAATGGAAATCTTATGAGATTCTCAAGATCCCTGTGATGGACTGCTGGCTTCACTGAGATTCGCTGGAAGTGAGCCAACAGGCCCTAAAGCAAGCATTGTTGGAGCTGAATGATCTCAAAAATTCTATTCATAACCCTGAATCAGCAGTGGATATGTCTTCACAAGGACCCAAGTTCTTTTTGTGGCTTCTGGCAGTTCAGCTTGTGAAAATATGCATGGATCTCTGGTAGCTGGAATGATAAAGGAATAGCAATTTGCATATCCTTATTGAATACAGAGACCAGCATTCATTTACAAGACAAAGCATCATAAACCTAGGTAATGAATACAAATGAAAACTTGAAAAAGACAAAATTAATTAGTAAATTTTAATTACAAAGTTTTATTATGACACAGTAGCCAGCCGCGGGTCTCAGTTGGGTTTCTGTATTTAATGGCATTGTCTTTCATCCACACTGGGGTAAAGGAAACTGTTGGAGTTGATTTTTCTCAGACCTGCTCTGTTGTCATGAAACTTGTGTGCTCAGGCAGAAAAGCAGCCGCTGAGAGCAGGAGGCAGGTCTGTGTCTGCAGGCGCTGTGCTATAGCATGATTGGATAAGTCTTCTCATTTGTTTGTTGTTCTGTTCCTGTTTTCTTGTTTACCTTCATTTCATTTTTGTTTTCAGTTGACATGTGGTCAGTAGGGTGCATCATGGGAGAAATGATTAAAGGTGCTGTGTTGTTTCCTGGCACTGATCGTATCCTTCCTAGCAGCCATTCTGGCCCCTCTAGGTACTTCCAACCCTTTTCCTTCCAGCCCCTTCCCACCAGACTAGTGCTGACATACCTCTGTTCTGTACCTAAAGAGCTGGCTTAAGTCCCACTGCAAAATCCCTGCAAACCAAAATGTCAACAAACCATTACTGCCTCTCAGCAAAAGCCTTAGGTGAAAGCCACAGTAAGTACAGCATGAGGAGATGGAAAACAGCATCCCACACAGTTCATCAGCATCGCTTTCTGCAGCCAGTGACCACAGCTTTGTTGTTATGAATGTCTCTTTTTTAATTTGGTGGTGTGTGTTTGGGAGGGGCGTGCTTTTTAAAGGTGGTAGAAGGGGAGGCACATGTCACTGCTTACTTCAGGGAGAGATGTTAGAGGTTCTGCATTCACGCGCATTTCTGCATCTCTGTGATACTCAGACATAATTCATAGAAATACTTATTTGTTATAGACTCATGGAATTGCTTATTTGCTTTGTTTGGTTGCTCTTTGGGTGGTATTAAAGTACAAAAGTAGGAAATGGTTTCAGTTTGGGCATAACTTCTTCCCAAGACTAAAATCATCACTTGGTAGTAATTTAATGACTCAGAAGTCTGGATGTTGGGAAACTCTTGTAGTGGACTTGGGTCTGCCATCTTTTATTTAAGCACATGAAACTATTATGTGAAAGCAGAATATATTCTTGGCATCAACAAGAACTGATTTACAAATAAACACAATAAATTAGTGGACAAGCAGACAAGGAATACATTTGTTTTCCTTGGAGACCACTCTACACTCAGGGCTGAGGCAGCCATATTTCTTATTTTGTTCCATGTTTTATTGAAGCACTTTAGTTATTTATCAGACTGTGAAACACTTCCTTGTGTGTAACAATAACTGAAATCAGTACATGCTTAATCTAATACCAGTCTTCCTATCCATAGGATCATGAATATGAGAAATGGACATGGCCTGTGTACAAGTTTTCCTTTTATTTTAAATTCTGTAGTTAGATAACAGAGGAGTTTCCAGGCATTATTAATTTTTATGTAACTTTCTCTGAGTAGGTGTGCATGTATACTTGGGTGTGTATATGCACATACTTACCAGCTCACTTCAGCACTTCTGACCTCATTTACATTTTAAAGGGTTCAATATTTTGATCAAAATGTGGGAAAAGTATCATCTGAAGAGCATGAAAGAAATGAGAGTAGGTAATTATATCATTAATATTTTCACAGCCTTGCCTAGTAATATTCTAACTTGTGTTTTGTCCAAAATGCTAGGTGAGCATACCCATACTGAAATGAGCAATACACTTTCCTTGTGTCTTTGTATGATCTGTAGCACATCTCCTCTGCCTATGTGAAAGTAAACGTTTCCCTTCTGTGTGTTAATGGAAATCATTAGCATCGATCTGTGCTCCAGGTCTGCTGTGCTTGTTTCCTGTCAATGTGGAGTCAAACATTTGAGCATCCCTCAGTGATGTAGTCAGAACTGGTTTTATGTTCATAGACCTACATTTTATAAGCCAGCATTTAAAGATATTCCTAAATAAGTCCAAAAAAGAATTGAATATGTCTTAAATAGCACTTCAAAAACTGGTTTCTTTGACACAGCTGCACGCTTGTTAAAAAGAACTTGCACAAAGCCTCTATAATTAAAGCATTGTGTGCCATCTATTATTGTAATAACTCCATAGAAATTGTCTGTTTTCCAGCTGCTGATTTCTTTGGGATTGGCCTGTAATTGAGTGCATGTTCTTCATTTTTATTTATGACACGTTACTAAACTTTCTCTGTGTTTTCTGTAGCTCTCTGCTTTTCTTCTGCTGTTCCATGGCTGCCAATTCCATGGACAGAGAATGATACCATTGCTTTCTTTCAGGCTCCTCCTCAAAGCCACCTCTTCTCCAAATCCACCCCCCACACCCCTTCCCTGCTGCTGGGCAGCCACGAGCAGGGGTTCAGCACTTCTGGCTCCCCTGCCCATCTGTGCAGCTGAAAACCAGTCGGGAAATGACCTCGTGCCATCCTCTGCCTTAAACCTGCACAGAAAATGCTTAGCATTGCTGTAAAAAAGATTATTTCTTCAGACGAGTGATGGAGTTGGGCAGCTGGATAATTCCATCAGCAGGGACTCTAAGCCCTCAGTGCTCAGGGGCAGCATACTTAAGGATGTGTTTAAGTGCAGGAGCAAGAGTAATTAAACATCCGTTTCTTTAAAAAAGTTTCCTCTTTGACACAAAATGGGTTAAGCCTGGCAATGTACCAGAATCTGCTATCAGCAATTTTTTCTTAACAGGCAGTGTTTCATTTCGCATCCACACTGTGATTTGAAGAGTATTTAATACTAATTTGCGTCAGTTTTTATGCATAAATAACCATGAAAAGCAGTTTTGAAGCTAAAAGATTGAATATTTGTGAGAAGTGCACTGTCAGTCATATATTTGACTGCAAAATTTATTATTTGCCATTTTCCAGTGGTTAAAGAGTGTAGGTCATTTAATGCTGTTACTGTTTACACAACTAAATAGTCCATTCAGCTAACTTTAAAAATTTAAGTAGCAAAATTCTGAAGCAGAAAAGCAGAAAATACCTCTGAGTAAGTGCAGAGTGGAGTGCTTAGCTAGGCGGCTGCTTTGTCCTACTCCTGTAATTCTGAATTCATCTGAATTCACTGAAGTCACTGGGGTGAAACTGAATCCACCTCTATTCTCTTTTAAACTCACAGTTGGGAAGAATGATCGGCTGTGTCCAAAATCCTCGTGGTCTTTATTGTTCCTCAAATTTTACTATTTCTCCATCAATTTTCATGTATGCATGTGATGCACTTAATTTGTCTGCTATAGCTTTTTCTTTTTTCCTTTTTATTTTTTAATTTCGTATGAAAACTTCATTTCAATGTTGACAGCAGTAGTTCTGCTTTCAAAAAGCAATCAGCATGAAGCTTGCACCTAATTGTGCCTCGAGCAAGGACATGGTGTGTTGTGTTGCCTCAGGAATAATGGGATAAGCTGGCTGTACCTGAGTCTGACTCTTGTTCCACGTGTTCTTCTCAAGATTTTGTGAGGGAGACTGTTAACCTTTTCTCCTTGCTGCATGGATGATCTGGAGGAGTGAAGAAGGTGCCTTAGTCCTTTGGTGAGCTGTGAAAGTATAGTTACACTTTTTTTTTTGGCTGCTGCAGGCACTTTGGGCAGACAAGGATGAATGTGCCTTTGATTCCGGTAGCTGGACAAGCTCAGGGAGCCAAGTATATATTCAGTAGAGAGATGTGATGTCAGCTGCTCTTAGTAAATATCTGCACAAGCTTATGCAGCCTTATTCTGCCTTATTCTACAGCTGCAATCGTGCCATGCATGTTGTAGGGATTGGAGTATAAGGGGATTGCTGGCTCTTGTGCTCTGTGGAAGTGTCCTGTTCTGCTCCCTTGTCCCTGAGGGCAGTTTCCCACAGGGCCCTATTGTTCAAGACTCCTTGAACAGCTGGAACTTTGCTTTCCAAAAATTTGGGGTCCTGACTTTACTCTTCACCTGACCCATATCCCTCAGCAGTGCAAACTCCACCAGTGCAGGGTTATGGTTGAACCGACAGGAGCTCCTGGGACGAGTGAAGTGATCTGAATCTTGACTCCATGTTTCAGAAGGCTGATTTATTATATTACGATATATATTATATTAAAATGCTATATTAAAACTATACTAAAAGAATAGAGAGAAAAGGATTCATCTGAAGGCTAGAAAGAACAGGAATGGAATGAATAACAAAGCCTCCTGACTCCTAGGGAGTCCAAGCCAGCTGACTGTGATTGGCCATTAATTAGAAACAACCAACATGCCCCAGTCACAGCTGCCCCTGTTGCATTCCACAGCAGCAGATAGTTATTGTTTGCATTTCTTTCCTGAGGCTCCTCAGCTTCTCAGGAGAAAAAATCCTAGCAAAGGATTTTTCATAAAATATAATGGCTACACAGGATCGCTGCAACCCTGGCAGCCTTCAGTGGACTTTAGTAGTGTCCTTGTCAGTGCTGGGTTAACAGCTGGGCTTGATCCTAGAGGTCTTTTCCAACCTAAACATTCTATGTCTATATGAAATTTCTCCCTGAAGTTGTTAGGCATCAGTCACATCAGAGCTCTTGAAATCTTCAGCCAGTGCCAGGTGCAGCAGCAGATGTGTTTGTAGAGGAAGTTCTCCAGCCATCAACAGATTTGATGAGCTTATACTTGAGCTGAGCTGCTGAAAAAATGTTGGGCAGAGCTTCAAAGCCATATTGTGGAATTCAGGAGATAAACGGGGCCTTTTTGAGCTCAGGAAGCATAGCTGAATTTCAGAAGATAACCAAGACCATTAAAGATTCTCAGAGTTAAAACACTCCTTCAGACCTCAAGCTGAGACTCAGTGCTCGAAAATTGAAGAACATGACCAGTGTGAGATGAAGAAAATAGACAGAAATACATGTAAGCCATCAATACCCTTGAAGGACCTCTTTTTTTTTAAGTCCACACTTCTGGCCATTTCATTTCAACAAAAACAAAACTGTATTTTTCAAGACTCATGTTCTGAAACAATAATTTCACTTTCAGTAGATTCCTTCCAGGCATAGAGTTAATTTACTTACAAACTTCACATCAAATTGATCTGCATTGCTGGTGACATGTAGAGCAGAAATATTACTGTAGTTTCTGAAAATACTTTTCAATATACATATTTTGCCTAATAATTTTGTCTGGGTTCCATAAACAAATGCTGCTGTAATGAGTCAGAATGATCTATAAAGTCCAGCAGTATCTGTACACAAGTCATTATAGCACAGGCCATAATCTTTTTTTAAAAGATGGGTTTGTACTTTCTAGGATTAGTGGCAAAATTATTTTCTCAGGCATCACAGAAGATCTCAATAACTGCCCTAAAGCTTTCTCTGCTTTATGCAGAAGATGCAGGGACTGTTCTGAAAACATAAGAGAACAGGTTATTGGAAACTGTTCCAGAAAGCC